TGTGGATTTGATGACGAATGGAAATGAAGATTTCAAAGTTGATGGATTAGGAGTTTTGAGGTTTCGAGGTCGTATTTGTATTCCCGATGATGCGGATTTGAAAAAGATGATATTGGAAGAGGGACATCGGAGTAACTTGAGTATTCATCCGGGAGCGAATAAGATGTATCAGGATTTGAAGAAGATCTTTTGGTGGTCTGGATTGAAAGGCGATGTTGCTCGTTTTGTGTACTCGTGTTTGACTTGCCAGAAGTCTAAGGTGGAGCATCAGAAGCCTAGTGGATTGATGCAACCGTTGGATATTCCGGAATGGAAATGGGATAGTATATCGATGGATTTTGTTACGGGATTGCGAATACGCAAAGAGGACATAATGCTATTTGGGTGATTGTTGATAGGCTTACTAAATCGACTCACTTTATCCCGATTGATATTACTTATTCTTTGGAAAGGTTGGCCGAGATTTATGTTGGCACTATTGTGAAGCTTCATGGAGTTCCTAAGAGTATTGTGTCGGATAGAGATCCTAGATTTACTTCAAGATTTTGGGAGAGTTTGCAAGGTGCCTTGGGTTCTAAGTTGAGATTGAGTTCGGCATATCATCCGCAAACAGATGGTCAAACCGAGAGGACGATTCAATCGTTAGAAGATTTGTTGCGTGCTTGTGTGCTTGAACAAGGTGGTGCGTGGGACGGTTATTTAGCGTTGATTGAGTTCACCTATAATAACAGTTTCCATTCGAGTATTGGTATGGCGCCATTTGAGGCTTTATATGGTCGGAGATGTCGAACACCTCTGTGTTGGCATGAGACAGGTGAAAAGTCGGTAGTTGGTCCGGAAATGGTACAGCAAACGACGGAAAAGGTGAAATTTATTCGGGAAAAGATGAGAGCTTCTCAGAGTAGACAGAAAAGTTATCATGATAAAAGGAGAAAGAATCTCGAGTTTCAAGAGGGCGACCATGTGTTTTTGAGAGTTACACCGGTTACGGGTGTGGGTCGTGCTTTGAAGTCGAGAAAGTTGACTTCTCGTTTTATTGGCCCGTATCAGATTGTCGCACGAGTTGGTGTTGTGGCTTATCGTGTGGCGTTACCTCCGAACCTTTCGAATTTGCACGATGTATTCCATGTCTCGCAACTTCGGAAGTATGTTCCGGATCCGTCACATGTTATCCCAATGGATGAAGTTGAAGTAAGAGATAACCTTACAGTTGAAGTTTTACCGGTTAGTATTTTGGACCGCGAAGTTAAGAAACTAAGAGGCAAGGATATTGCGCTTGTGAAAGTGTCCTGGGGAGGTGCCACAGAAGGCAACATGACTTGGGAGTTGGAGAGCAAGATGCGAGAATCGCATCCAGAGTTGTTTGAATCAGGTAACATTTTCGAGGACGAAAATTTCTAAAGTGGGGGAGAGTTGTAACGCCCCGATTCTGAATTCCCATTAATTGTTGAGTCTTTTAATTTATTTAATTGATGTTTGTTTTAAATTGAGAAATTATATATTATTATGTGGTGTTTGCTTATTTTATCTATTTTTACCGCTTCGGAGAGTTTTCGGGGGGAATTAGAGTAAAAAGGGCATTTTAGACATTTAGCAATTTAGTGTGAGAATTGATTGGTAGGTGTTGGAAAGAATTTGAGAGGAAAGAAATAGAGATAGAAATATAATAAGAGAGGAAAAGAAAGAAAGATAGTAACATAAGAAGAAAAACAAGAGAAAGAAAAGAGGAGAAGAGAAAGAGAAGAGAAAGTAGAGAGGAAAACCTAGAATCATCAAGGGATCATCACCAAAGCTTGCAATCGATCGGTAAGGGTGTGAAACTCCATCATCTCTTTAATTTATATGATGTATATGATTGTATGTGTATGTGTTTGGATTTTGTAGAGTTTCTACTCTTTTTCCACTTAGGTTAGAAGTTGGTTTGATGAGTAGAAAGAGGTTTTAATTGGTTAGAACTCGGATTAGACGATGTAGTTTAGTCGGGTGATGGTAGGGTTGTGCCACTGAGACTGGTTTGGATTTAATCGGTTGGTTGTGTGGAGTTTGGGCTTTGGAACAGCCATGGAGGTTCTGTCTTCGCAGGCTCGCCAGGCGAATGGCAGCGAAGCTTCGCCAGGCGAAGCCCAACGAGCTGCAGCGAAGCAAGTCAGAAGCAAACACCCTGTCTTTGCTGGCAAGTTCGCCAGGCGAAGTGAGTAGGCGAAGGTTCGCCAGGCGAGTGTGTAGCGAGCCTCAGCGAGTAATTCCAGAATTACTCCCAGTGGACTTCGCTGGGAAGTTCGCCAGGCGAAGGCCAGCGAGCATTCGCTGCGTGGCTTCGCCATGCGAAGGTTGGCGAACCTGACAGTGTTATTTGTTTTGCTGTTTATTCATAGCATGATTTTTTTGGCCGATTCAATTATGATTAATGCCTATATGAATGATTGACGTGTGAACTGTTTCGACATGTCGTGCTGTGGGTGGCCGAAAGGCGTGAATCCTAGATTGTAGAGCCAATGGTGAATCTTGAACGTTTAATAATCTTGTGTATTTGCTTGAATTGAATAGAAACGCATTGATAGGCTGATATGTGTGTAAACCATGTGTGAAATGGTGCATAATGTGAATGCATGATAGATATATGCGATGTATGTGATAAATGCAATGAGTATGTTTGTGAACATAGTATGCATTCTGTGTTGATCGATCCCTCGGAGGATTAGCATTGTGTAGCATCTTAGTATGCATTTTTGTGTTGAATGATCCCTCGGAGGATTTGCAGAACCTCGTATGATACGATGGTTACATTAGATTCCTTGGAGAATCGGTTGCATTGTGTGATTCCTCGGAGAATCGGTCATAACATGTAATCCCTTGGAGGATTGACTAGAGTATTTGATTCCGTGGAGAATCTGCAGAGTATTTGATTCCGTGGAGAATCTGCTGAATATTCGATTCCGTGGAGAATCTGATGAATATTTGATTCCATGGAGAATCTGCTGAATACTTGATTCCGTGGAGAATCTGCTGAATACTCGATTCCTTAGAGAATTTGTTGAAATGAGTCGGTACCGCATTTGCATCTGCATAGAGTCGTGTGTCGGTCTCTATGAGTTGCATGAGTCATCTGTGTATGATGCATTAGTTGTATGAATGTAACTCTGTATGTTATATATGATTGTTTGGAGGAACATATAGTGAATGTTCATGAGCATGTGTAGAGGCACGATTAATTGTATATGCTTAATGTGGTGAGAACATAATTTGAGTATAACTTGTACAAATATGAGTATATGTATATATACAATTTTATGCATTAACTGTTATGATATTGTTTCTCACCCTTCTGCTGTTTTATAATGCTCTATGAGGCATTGCAGAGTAGGAAGCTGGAGGTTCTTTTTGTGAAGCGATGTCTTCATTCTTTTTGGTCAATGGCTCTGATATGTAACATCTGGGTAGTTAGGAAGCCTTTGACTCCTTTGGAGTTACATTTGTTTTGATTCCTTGTGATACATCTGTGTATGTATCTGCTGTGGATATGGTTGTAAAGCATGAATTGATTGAATGGTTGTATATACTTTTATGAATGTGATCGATTCAATATTTGGATGTTTCCGCTTTTATTCTAAATATTGAGATGTGGGTTACCCATTGTTGCATATCTATTTTGAGCAGGTATCGTATGTGTTTAATTTCGTGATAATGTGATGCGCCTCTTATATACCATGTTTTAATTAAATTTTAATTAAACTCTGATGAAATAAATTTTCTAAGTGCCTAATTGATTAAATGTATTAATTTAGGGGTATAGAAAGGGGGTGTTACAGTATTGGTATGGCACCTTTTGAGGCATTGTATGGTAGACGTTGTAGGACGCCATTGTGTTGGTATGAGTCGGGAGAGAGTTATGTGGTTGGACCCGAGATAGTCCAGCAGACACTACGCCAAAATTGCTATTTTGTATCGCCTAATTTAATAGCGCTTTTAAAATAAGCGCTATTAAAAAGGAAACAAACACATCTATAATAGTGTTTTATAGTAAAGCGCTATTAAAGAGTACAGAGAATATGATTTTGATAGCACTTTGTAAAAAAGCGCTATTATAGATCTTCATTAAGATAGCGCTTTTTTAAAAAGCTCTATTAAAATGTTGTATTACAATAGCACTTTTATAAAAGCGCTATTATTTAAAGCACTACGATAGCGCTTTTCAAAAATCGCTATTAAAATATTTAACTATAATAGCGCTTCCTAAGAAACCGCTATCGTTTCTATCATTGTGTATTAAGATAGCGCTTTTATAAAAAGCGCTATTAAAATATTCCACTAAATTAAATTAATTAAAATACCAAACCTTTTCCCGACCCATATGTTTTTTTCGATTTCGCGCAAAATCCTTTCTACCCCCACGAGATGTTCAATTCTTCACGTCCTTTCGATTAACTAAAATCCTTTCGATTTGGCGCAAAAAAGAAAACACAGTCACGTCCTTTCTTCGTCGATTCACCGCCGCCGTCTCTCATCTTCTTCATCGATTCACAGTCATCTTCTTCATCGATTCACTTCACTGGATTAAAAAGAGGAACCACGGGAAAGAAAGAACAAAGAAAATTCATTCTCTGTCGATCTCAGCCGCCGTCATCAGCTCACCACTGTCACCCTTCTCTTCATTGATATCCGGTAATCTTTCTTTTCTCAGATTATTGCTTTGTGTTGTAAGTTGTAAAATTAGGGGTTTGTAAAATTAGGGATTTGTAAAATTAGGGTTGCACTAAGGTTTCAGCAATTAGTTTTCCAGCGAAAGTTTGCCAGAGCTGCAACTGTCGAAGAGATAATGATTAACTCAAGGATGTTCATATGGGCTTACCACTCTGATTGTGTGGAAAATTTACCTTAAAATTGAGGAGTTGAAACTAGTATTAAAATTGACGATATCATGAGTGCTTTTGTAGATTAGTCTTCATCCTATCTTGGATAAAACCACTTATCATCTTGTCAACAAGGAAAGACTCGCCAAGATGAAGAAGGTATGAGTTCAAGGAACTTTTCTTTTTCTTTTAAATTATCTTGTAGATTAGTATTCTTTTACTTACGATACATTCCTATTACAGGAAGCAATTCTAATAAACTGCAGTAGACGACCTGTTATTGATGAAGCTGCATTTGTGGAGAACTTGAGACAGAACCCATTGTTTCGTGTAGGCCTTGATGTGTTTGAGGTAATTTAAACTTGTCTGATTTTGGATAATTGGGTTTGCCTTTAAAACCACTTTTACAAGTCACCATGTGAATTTTTTTATTAGGAAGAGCCCTACATGAAACCCGGGCTTGCAGAGTTGAAGAATGCCATTGTAGTACCACACATTGCACAGGTATTTCTTAAGCATACTAGAATTGATATTTTTTGCTCTTATAATTGATATGTATGTTAGATGTTCGATTAAATGCCTCAGAGAAAAAAATAGTTAATTATTCTGAATGATTATCATATTATGTTAGGACTCAAGTGTTAGTCTAATATTGTCTTTCGTCCTTGTGAAGAAATATATTTGATATTACTCCCGCAGCAACAATAAGTAGACCTGTAGCTAATGTTACCAAGCCAACAATTAATCCATGGTAGCTTTCTTTAAGTCGATTCTCATTGTTAACCTGATGCATATTCTTGTTGTTGAAAGCTCTGATAACTTTGTGTTTTTTGTGTTGATTTTCATGTACCGACATCAGCTTGGTCTGGGGCATTCGATGAAGCACCTTGGAACTTTATCTTAATGAAGAGATCCTGGCTTAAAAGAAAGAATTTGGATGCGCAGAATTTGGCCGCAATGAGAAAAAGTATATCTGGTAATTTTTCTGCTACTGTAGTGAACTTTCAAGCTATTTTCTAATGCTTCTTTCTAACAAGTATGTATTGGATACTTGTCTCAGCAATTACTGCAACTTCTAAACTTTGAATCTTCACAGAAGTTGTCTTGAGTTGTTGAGCTCTATTGTTGTCAATGCGTTGCAGTGAGTTTGAAAATGTCATGAATGAACCAGCTGGTAATCCTTCACACGCATTCCTTCTTAAAGCATCCTCGTATGGACTTTCAATCTGAGGACTTTCTGGAACTGTAGAGAACGGTTCTTCAAGTCCTAAAGGCTGCAAAACTTTACCGGAATCACCGTCATTTTCATCAAAAAGTGCCTTCAATAAATCAATTGCTTCATTTGTCAATTCAAGACCCTGATCAGGTACACATTTCAAAGTTAGAATTAGATCATCAACCAGCTTCACATCCATGTTATATCCACACCTTCTGAGCACAGTCCATGTCATTCACACCTTCAAACACAACTATATGCATAACACTTTTTTTACATCTAAAATTTTCTATGCAACAACAGGTCTGGGATAGAACCAAGAAAATTGAATGACTTGACGGTGGAAGTTGCTACATCATGCTAGAGAAAAATACTTCCTATATACACTGACGAGATAGGAATGTGTCCTTCAACAACAATGCAACAACTGTTTTCCTGATCCATTGAGAACCTAAACCGGGTTTCAAATCATCACCCCAAGTTAAACATGTGTTATCTAAGTGACAAGTTGGTGTTGGTGTGAAAGGTTTGTTGTTCGTTGCGAGATCGAGACAGAGTACATGAGTTGTGGTGATGAAGAATGGCGGCCGGTTTCTGATGAAATCGACGACTCCTATTCTGCTGTTGACTGTACTCGACCACTTACACAAATGTTGAAAATTTGGAAGGATGCAGAAAACGACAAGTTTAGTTATAGTAGCACTTCTGCTAGTTTTGAAGACAGTAAAGGGAGTGTTGCAGTGCGACCTACCAGATTCACTGACTCTTTCACTTCTGCTGATGCTAGTGATTTTAAATATAAGGTTTGGTGTGTAACATGATAAAACTTAGCATAGAGGATTACTCTTGGCATGCAAAAGAAATCAACGGCCATGATCTTGCCCTTGTGGATGGTGCACATGCTGCTGCTTGTGAAGAAATGGCTACAACAATGTCCAGTGTAGAGGCTGCTGCTTACAAAGGATTACAACAGTGTATTGAAACTGTCATGGCCGAGGTTAGTTACTTCTTCCCAAATGTGACACCATTGAAGCAACGGTATTGTCGTTTGTTTTTGCATCGCCTTGGTCCAGATTCGCAACAACAACAATATTGTGACGACATTGCCGAAATGTCAAATTTATTATTGAAGGTGTATGAGTATATCTTTAAAACTTGCTTGTGAGTCTGGCTAGTCATATTAATCTTACTATTGTTCTCCTATGAAGAGCCAGCAGAGTAATAACATCTGTCAATCGCAAAATCTCGTGATTCTACGAACACAATGAGATCTAATTATACTTATATTCAATGTGATTCTTACAGGGTGAAGAAGAACAAAAACATATTGGCAAGATTGTTGAGTTTTTTCAAACTACTGATAGGAAAAATTATTTATGGGTCCAATGGTTTTACAGAATTCAAGATACAGTGAGTACCGAGTATTTCATGATATTTATTTACTTATGTTGAAATGTATGTCATTGTAATTATTGCTTCTGATTTTATTTCAGGTTGTCAAAGATGCAGGTGATTATCATGACAAGAGGCGTTTGTTCTATTCATCAATAATGAATGATAACTTAATAGATTCCATAATAGAGAAAGTGAATGTGAGATACATAAAACATAAGGTATCACAACTTCATATGATGAGGGACTGTTGCCTTGTCAATTTTAAGGTTTATATTTATGTTTTTGTATGTAATAATTGCTGAAAGTTCCTTAATTGTAATTGTAGTTCGTTGTTTGTTTCCATGTACAGAATTGGGATTTGGTGGCACAACTCGTTTACGATTGTGTTTATGCTCTTTATGCAGAATTGGGATAAGGTTATTGGAAACAGGTTAAGTTTGATGAGTTCGGATGGTTGAATGTTGTTTTTTTATACGACAGAAAGTGGTGCGTTGTCGCACGATGGAGTTTTATTGAATGATATCTAAGTTCAAACAAGGCGCAACCATGCCTGGTGAAAATTCAAATAAGCCTATGATATCTAAGTTCTTTGTCTAACAACAGCATAGAAACTAATGGTGAAAGTAATTCTCTTGACCAACCTAATTCAGCTAAGGGAAGTTCTAAACTTGTCAAAGAAGAAGACGAGAAACCGGTAAAGTTAGCTTTAATATCTATAAACTCTACGGCACCGAGGCTTTTGGATGGATAAGGATTTTCGCGGTACTATTTCTTTCTGTGTTGTGGCAAGCATCTACGATGGCTAGTGATTATTGGTTGGCATATGAAACATCGGTCAAGCGTGTTGAATTTTTCAATCCTTCGTTGTTTATTTCCGTCTACGCAATTATTAGAATAGTTTCAGTTCTTCTGATAGTGCTGAGATCCTATTCGATTACAGTCTTCGGGTTAATGACAGCACAGATTTTCTTCAAACAAATTCTTAATAGTATCTTGCATGCTCGAATGTCTTTCTAGGACACTACTCCATCAGGCCGAATTCTAAGCAGGGTAAGAGTTTAAGGCCGAATTCAAGTATAACCGATTTCATATGTATGTATGTATATATGGTTTTTTACAGGTTAAATAATGTCATCAAACATAATACTATTACATTTTTTACAGGTTAAATATGGTTTCTACTAATGATGAAGGTGGTTCGTCTAGTACGAAAACAGTTGGTAAACGTGGTGTGACTCGGTTGCAAAAAATTCACAAAGCCAAAAGCAATGGAAAGTTTCTTACTGAAAAGTTTCAGGTAGTAACTTGTCATTATTTATCTCTATCCATCATGCATACAAATTTTCATAGCAATGTTAACACTTAGCTGCTATAGTATTGATACTTCTCAAATCCGACATACCTTGTAAAACACCGTATAGAATGCCAGAAGCGTATGTTAATTTTAACAGACTTGATTGCAAATTGTGTCGAATTCCAGAAGCGTATGTTAATTTTAATAGACTTGATTGCAAATTGCAGATTGTATTTGTCAATACAATATACTCATTATATTCTTTGGCCATTTTTTTATACACGAGAGTTGTTGATCTGAATCTTACCCACAACACATTTGATGTTGGTAATTAATAATGATTTGTAGTTTAAATAAGTCCATGTGCCTATATAAATTAAGCTGGTGTTTCTTTGTAGCAAGAGTCGTTCTAAATACTGTGACTCTGCTAGTTCATGAAATCCTTTGAGTGGCAGCTCAATTCAGATTGACTGAATTCCAGGCTTATGTTTAAGACACTTTGGTGATGATAATTGTCATTTTATGGTTTTATACGATTAATTTGAGTATAGTGTCCTTCTTGGAATAACAAGCTCATACCATCTGTGAATTGATGTGTTGCAGAGCATAAGTTTGAAAAGAAGTTTTATTTCACCGGGACAAAGCTCATACCAACTGTGAATTGATGTGCTGCCAAGCAGAAGTTCGAACCACAGATATAAACATTCCTTGTAAACTTCATCTTGTGGATTCATGGTTTCATACCTCAAGTATTATGGAACCCAGATTGGCGACTTACTGTTTGTGTTTATCTAGGTTCAACAGATAATTACAAAAGTTAAAGATCTACAGGGTAGCCTTGTTAGGTTTCAAAGTTCAAATCTATTACATTCTATGGAAAAACTGTGTTGCTGGCACAAGATCCACAGTTTTTTAAATTAGAATAGAAAGAATGTGTATTTGTTGGACTATACTGTCATAAAATCCAACTTGTCTGACCTATATTAGGATTATTTTTGGTGAATGCTTCTGTCTCTATCTTCAGTACAGAACTTCAACTTGTCATTATTATTTTAATTTCAAGTATTTTAGCTACTTAGTTATAATTATTTTATGAGTTCTAATGTTGTAAAATGCAAATGCTATATATATATAATGATTTGGTATAAAAAAAAAGTGTATTAGAATAGCGTTTTGAAAAGAGCGTGCTATAATAGCGCTTTGTTAGAAAGTGCTATCAAAATTAAAGCAATTTACCGGTATTATAATAGCACTTTGTTTGAAAGTGCTATTAAATATGTGTCTTATAATAGCGCTTTATTTGAAAGCTCTATTAAATATGTGGACTATAATAGCGCTTTGGTTTAAAGTGCTATCAAAATTAAAGCAAATTACCGGTACTATAATAGCACTTTGTTTGAAAGCGCTATCAAATATGTGACTTATAATAGCGGTTTTGGAAAAGCGCTATTAAATACAGGTACTATAATAGCGCTTTTAAAGCGCTATTAAAAATTTTGTTTTACAACAGCGGCTTGATTAATAGCGCTTTAAAGCGCTATTAAAAAGCAAAAAAAGCGCTATTATAAAACTTTTTTGTAGTAGTGAGACTAACGATAAGATTAAGATGATTCAAGAGAAGATGAAGGTTTCTCAGAGTTGTCAAAAGAGTTATCATGAAAAGAGGAGGAAAACACTTGAATTTCAAGAGGGAGATCATGTGTTTCTTCGAGTTACTTCGATGACTGGCGTTGGTAGGGCGTTGAAGTCACGTAAGTTGACGCTGCGTTTCATTGGTCCTTATCAGATTTTGCAGAGGATAGGAGAGGTAGCCTAACGTGTTGCTTTACCGCTGTCGCTTGCTAATCTCCATGATGTATTCCATGTATCTTAATTGAGGAAATACATTGCGGATTCGTCTCATGTAGTCCAAGTAGATGATGTACAGATAAGGAATAACTTGATTGTGGAGACATCACCTATGCAGATAGAGGATCGAAAGTTGAAGCAACTTCGAGGCAAAGAGATTGCTTTGGTGAAGGTCGCTTGGGGAGGACCGGCTGGTGGAAATGTGACTTGGGAACTTGAGAGTCAGATGAGGGAGTCTTATCTAGAGTTGTTTGAATCAAGTAACATTTTCGAGGACGGAAATTCCTAAAGTGAGGGAGGCTTGTAACAGCCCAATTTTCAATAATTGATTAATTATACTAATTAATTGGTTTATGTGATTTATTTGATTTAATGAGTTAATGGATTTAACTGATTTATTCTATTTGGTAGAATAATGTGGATTAACTAGATATTCTCTAATTAAAGATAAGATGAGAAATTTGGTGAGAAAGGAATTGGTAGATATTTTGAGGGAAGAATTATGATAGAAAGAAATAGAATAGAAAGAGATATAAAAGAAAGAAGAGAGAAAATAAAAGGAATAGAAAGAAAAGAAGGAAAAGGAGAGAAAGAAAGAGGAAGAGGAGAAAAGAGGAGGAAAAAGGGAAGAGCTTGGAAATCATCAAGATCAGCTCCTAGCTTCGATTAATCAAGGTAATGGTGTGAAATATCATTATACTATCAATGTGTGTGCTTATGTATGTGTTTGTTGGATTGGTTTGGATTGTTGGAGAGTTTTTATTCACTTACCATTTTTAGGTCGAATATGATTTAATCGGTAGAAATTGAGTTTTAACGGTTAGAATCAGAAATAAATGGAGTAGTTTAGTCGTGTAATTTTGGGCTAAGACTACTGGAGTCAATTGGAATTGAATCGGTTGATTTTGTGAGTTTTGACATATTTGGACAATTGGAGGTTAAGATTTTGGATGAAAATCGGAAGTCGTAGAACTTGTGTTTTATGATCCTAAATTGTTACTATATGATTGGTAATGATGAGTAGGTATTTAATCAGGAGAAAATAATAAAATCGGTCAGGTTTTTGGAGGTTTTGGGCACAAACCTGCAACCTTGTTTTTCCAAAGTTTTAGGTGTTAACCGGTTAACCATATACGTTAACCGATTAACACATTGTTAATGCACCAGGATTTAAAAATCTGGGTGTGTTAACCGGTTAACGGAAAGTGTTAACCGGTTAACACTGTAAGTATGAGAAAAATATTATTTTTCAAAACTTTGTAAATTCATAACTTCTTCACCGTTTATCGGATTTTGTCGTTCTTTATATCAAACTAAAGCTAATAATATGTTCTATAACTTGGTGAAAAGAAATATTATTTTACCCGACTTTTAGCTGATTTTAACCGATTAATCAAGATTAATTATTTTAAGTAAGTGAGCCTTAAATAGTTAGAGCTTTCAGTTGCGATCGATCTCTTCTTCTGTGAGTAGCTTATATGCTGTTGTATGGTGTGTTGTGGGTAGCCGTATGGCGTGAATCCTAGATTGTGGAATTGATTATGAAATGTGATCTTTTGACAAACTTATGCATTGTTTTAATTGATTAAAAATGTATGATGAATGTGATTGAGTTCGTTGCCGTTGGCACGATGTTGTGAAGAATACATGAGAACATATTGTGAATATGTGTGCATTGCTTGATAAATGTATTGATGGTATTGAATTGTGAATGCATATTGTTTGTATGCGGTTATTGTTAATAATGCATGAGAACATATTGTGAATATGTGTGCATTACTTGATAATGTATTGAAATATGAATATGTTCTGTGTGCAATCATGTTATAATTTGTATGTGATGAATTATTTGAGAATGCATGGGATTAAGATGCGAGAACAGTCTTAAGTGAATTTGGTTGTTGATTGCATATGCATCATTTGGTCAAGAGGCGATGCTTGCTAGTTTCGTGGAGACTAGTGACTTGTCCCAAACCTAGAAGGGTGGGTTTGAAAGCTTAGAGGACGGGTTTTTGTTGTTATCGGTCTAGAAGGGTGGACCCGGTTTAACTGTAAAAACCGAAAAATGATAACAAGTGTTGGTACCACATGGCATGATTTGCATTGAGTCTCATGGAATGAATATATGATTGTCGTATGAAGTTATGCTTAGGTGTATGTACTTGACTTGTGTAATTGAGAATTATGGATATGTTTGATGATTGTCCATATTTGCCAATATATATATATATATATATATATATATATATATATATATATATATATATATATAT